AAACCCACTAGCTACGGCGGACGCCCAGCTAGCAACAAACCAAGAAAAAGAGGACAACAAATCCCAAACACAATCCACGTTGCAAGAAGACCAAACCGAGAATGCCAAACCCACACTGCCACGGAGGAAGCCGAACGCAGCCAACAGCCAAACACAATCTCAAGCTGCAAGAAGACCAAACCAAGACTGCCAAACGCACGTTGCCACAGAGAAATCCGAACACAACCAACATCCAAAAACAATGCAACCAAAAACAAAACCCTACGCAGCCAAATCACCAATCCGCCGAACGGAAACAAATGAAGAGAAGAACCAACCTGTTATTGCATAGGCTCTGATACCATGTCAAATAGTACGAATGTATAAGAGACAACACCGAATTTAACGTGGTATCCCTAAATCTCAGGACTAATCCACGGGAGAGAATGTGCTCTCCAAGAGTGTCACTATAACCACTATGACTTAGTTATAGGAGTACAGCCGAGTTCGGCTTAATATAGGGTTAAACACTAACATAGACAATTAAGTGACTAATTACATAATGGTACCTCAACAATAAAAATCAACATGGAGACCTTGGTGGTCATAGTAGAGAGACCGAGAGAGAAGGGTTCTAATTGGACTTGGTAGGGGGTGATGAATTTTTTTTAATTATCCAGTAACCTCAGTTTCACGTGCCACCTTGTGACAGCGGGGACTAATAAATCTGAGAGCCACCTGCAATCATATTCGACGCCAATGGGGCTTCTCCCCTAGCAGCCTTGTAAATCCGGGAACACCAACGGGTCTCGCTTGGTTTCAAACCTATGATATGCAACTCCCAAATCTTCAATGTTGCGACAGATTTACCGTTAGCCTTTCTTACCTTTGGTTGGTAGGAGTGATGATAGCGTGGCTGATCATTAATTTTTCAAAATGATAAGGGCTCCCTCCTTTTGTAAAATCTGTAATAAATGTGGTCAACTTCAAAAATAAAAAATAATAATAACATAATATTTGTAGGGATTTCCTACGGTAACTTGAAGTAAGGTAACTTGAATTTTTTTACCTGCTATAGCAGGTTTTACAGGTCGTATTACGTAAAATACAATAGGCATTACGTAATGGTTACGTAACATATGATAATCTTACGTAACAGTTGTAAAAGATCATTACGGAAGCCTTACGTAATAGAATGTGTCTTTACGTAATGAGTATTAACCTCGTGTTACGTAAAATGCTAAGTCATTACGGAAGCCTTACGTAACGCTACTGATTTAACTGTTACGTAAGAAATAATTGTCGTTTCGTAACCTTTACGTAATGGAAGGTCTTTTTACGTAATGAGTATTAACCTTGCGTTACGTAAAGTGCTAAGTCATTACGGAAGCTTTACGTAACGCTTCCGATTTAACTGTTACGTAAGAAATAACTATAATTCCGTAACCTTTACGTAGTGAATATGTATTTTACGCAACAGTTGTAAAAGATCATTACGGAAGCCTTACGTAATAGAAGATTTCTTTACGTAATGAGTATTAACATCGTGTTACGTAAAGAGCTAAGTTATTACGGAAGGCTTACGTAACGCTTCTAATTCAATAAGGATTAAAAAAGGAAATGTTAAAATATGGAAAGCCAACTAAATATGAAAAAGGAAAGAAAAAAAATAGAAAAAGGTAACTTGGAATGGGTGACCGGCAACCCATGTTGCCATTTATTTTTTAGTTATTATTTATTTATTTAATCAATGGTTGAAAATAAATTTGGTCAATTTTAACGGTTTAGATCTATGCAAGTTACCTAATTTCAAATTATACCCAAGTTATGGTAGGAGATCCCAATATTTGTATTGGCTGAGAAACGAGTTCGAGATGTAATTGTATCAATTAACACAGCAAAACAAATGAAAAGGAAAAGTATATTATACAGTCGTACACGGTGCCCAATAAATCCCATGCAATAATGAACCAAATACTGTACAACAAAATGATAGATAATAAAAAAAAAAAGACGACAGCGACACATGCAGATTTATCCTCCATCCATCCACCCACCCATCCATCCATCAATGTGATGGAGATGGAAAAAAGAAAAGCTTACGAATTCAGGAAGGTGATTGAGAATTGAAACAACAACGAACATCATCCTCATCATCAAGCTTTGCCTTCGGCTCTGGCATAAGTAAAACCCGCGCAAGCATCCACAAAATCCTCGTCGATGAAATCCGTGGACAGAATCTGCAGCCGATCCCCCCACCCCTTCGCCACTGCCTGGTTGATAAACAGCCTTGCGTAGGAGTGGATCCGGCTGGTCACGGGCTTCACGCACACGATCGGGTTGTCGGGCTGCGGCGTCACCGTGTTCTCCACCCGGTAGAAAAACCTCCTCCCCGCCGCCGCCCCCTGCTGGCTCAGAAACTTGAGATTGCTCTCGAATTTCGTCGACGGCAGGTCCGTGTCGATCCAATTGTCCTTCAAATACCCGGGGCCCCACAAAGCCCCGCCGGGCTTCGGCGCCTCCGACTTCCTCGGCTTCCACACGCAGATCACCCGCCTCGGGAGCAGCTCCGCCACCGTCTTGCCGAAAACGGCGTCGTCCTGGTGGATCAGGTGCTCCCCGAGCTGCTCCTCCAGGTACCTGTCGAACTCGGGCGGGTCGTCGTGCCCGAACTCGGTCCGGACCTCGAAGAGGATGACCTCGGACTGTGTCTCGGAGAGGAATTTCTTGACGTCAGCGATGACGACGTCGACGGAGTAGGTTTTGAGGATGCCGTGGCAGATGAGGCGGTCCTGGTTGACGCGGATGTCGAGGACGCGGGCCCCGCGGCAGAGCTGGCGGTAGATGGAGAGGGACTGGCACTGGGCGAAAGGGCGGGTGACGAAAGGGATGCCGATCTTGTTTGTGGCGGAGTCGTGGGTTCCGGGCCACACGATCTGGTTGATCCGGATCTTGTCGGGTCCGATTCCGGACATCCAGTTCTGGCGGTCGGCGGGGCGGTAGTCGGAGCCGGGGAAGTCGGTGCCGCAGCTGCCCTTGAGGTCGCAGAGGGTTTGTTTCTCGGTGGAGATGGCCTTCCGACGGGCGATCTGCTTGGATGCCTGCGCCCCCATTGTAAGGTACGGTGTGGACTCTTCTGGGTAGCGCAGAAATGGGATGGATGTTGTTTAGGGATGGGAAATATAGACAGACAGAGCCAGAGGGGTGTGTGTTTTGGGTATTAGAGTTATTATTGGGGCGTAGGTGGCATGTAGTAGTGGATGATTATTGCTAAGAAAGGAGAGCTGTTTTTTGGCTGTGCTTCGGAGACGGACAATGGAATGGATGAATCGATGATTGTGATGAGGGTCTGTTTGGTTGGTGGGTGTGGTTTGTGGTGTGAATTCATCATGATTTGTGATTTTTATTTGGGTTAGGTTGGTTGGGTGTTTGATAACGATTGGATGATGATAATAATAATAATAATAATAATAATAATAATAATAATAATAATAATAATAATAATAATAATAATAATAATAATATTGAGTTATTGTGTATGGTGGGTGGGGTTTGTTTGTTTACATTGGTGTGGTGGCTGAGTGGAATGAGAGGATGTCCAAAAATCTTGGTTGAAGCTTTTGCTTTGTTTCCAGGATGTAAAATTGTGGTGGTGGGGTGTTTGATGAACTGATTATATTAGAAGAGATGTCTGTTTGTGTTGATGTATGATTATTAGTTTCGTGTGGAGGGAATAGGGTTGCGGAAATTTTTTAGTGTTGTTTGTAAGAAGACTGGTGATTAAGATCTCGATCCAGTTTAAAATTTGTTTTATTATTTATTTTTGGATTATGAAGGGCAAGCTATTACACAAATGTCTCAAATCTTCTTATTTGATTAGGATCGTCAGCTAGATTATTGGTAAAATTGGTGCATTTTATGTGTACACGAGCCACCACATGAAAAGGTGGTTGTCTTAAACGCCATCCTCCATTTTAATGTGAACTCGATGTTCCCACTTCCAAATAATATGAAAAAAAGAAGACAATTGTACTCATGTACAGATTACAGCTTTGGATTTGCTCCAACCGGGGAATGGATCAGGTCAGTAACCTTATGGTGAGTAACCATGAGTAACCCGTCCACATTAGCATGACATCAGCATCCTCTCTCTCATGGAAAGCCTTTAATTTTTTCCTCTTTAATCTTTGACGGACGATTTCTCGCTCATTTTAAGTCGAAATTTAATTTTTTTTGCACAGTTAGATCAGATTAATTGTGCTCTTCAAAATGATATCCACTTTAATATATTTTTTGAACAAAAAAAATTGAGCCATTTTTTACCAGCCTATACCATATGGTATTGACTGGTATTGAAATAAAAGCATACCTATGTTTTGAAAAACGTACCATGGTGGTATGAACAAACCAATACTGTAGGATGGTTGAATACATGATAGTAGAAGTATATTAATTGTAATTTACGACTTTTAACATTGTATACCACACAATACCACCCCGTACCAGGGGGTATTTTATGGTATTGTGTGGTATTTTTTGGTCCTGTAATTTGTTCACCCAGAAATTTGTAGATCCAATAGATCATGATGAACTCGTCCCTTTTGTGCAAACGTTTTCAAAAACGAATTAAAAACTAAGAAGATACCATACAATACCACCCCGTACCGGGGTGGTATTGTATGGTATTGTGTGGTATTTTTTTGTCCTGTAATTTGTTCACCCAGAAATTTATAGATCCAGTAGATCATGATGAACTCATCCCTGCTGTGCAAACATTTTCAAAAACGAATTAAAAACGAAGAAGATACCATATGGTATGCAGTTGGTACCGAGAGGCCAGAATTTTTTTTTCCTAAAAAAATATTGAAAATTGATCTCATTTTGTAGAGCATGGTGAATTCGTTCCATCTGTGCAAAAAAAATTAAAATCCGAGTTAAAACGAAAAAGATATGAGTCAATTAAAAAAGCTAGTGAAAATAAAAATAACATTCAATTCTCCATCCTTAGATCTGGATTTTCTAAATGAAGAGTCCAGATTTGGTTATTGATGGGTGCATGGTTATGCACCCTATCTTGAGCCCCAACCGGGAAGGATGAGACAGCACTAGGCCACTCGGCATCTCATGATTGGTGCAGACAATTGACATCCCATCGATTGATAATTTTGATGTCCTTCTTAGCCGCACAAAAACAGAATCATTTTTCTCAATCGGAGGAAAAAAAATATTCTAAAAGGTTACTTGGCTACACTGAACATTCATTTTAATCTGGTAAGTGGTAACTGATAAACCAAACTCCTGAAGTTTACAGCCAGGTATCTATGAGCAACATAAAACCCATGAGACCGACCTATTGATACAATGGGAATTCTTATGGGAAATCCACTTCTATGGACATTTCAAACTTGATTAAGATGGCTGCTTATCACCTCTCGCCTTATCTTAATGACCATATCAGCATGCTGTTCTTCAATGGAAACTCCAAGGGCGTCCTTCATCTAGGTAAGTCCCTTGCTTTACAAAATCTCTGCCTCATAATTTCCTCCAACTTATGGATCACCGAAGAGAACATTCCTGCAAGTGATCAACCCAGAAACAACATCAGCCTCCCAAGTAATGCATATCAAAGCTTTTTTTTCTTCTAATCATGCTGTCATGTTCATATTCATATTCAGATTTGTAACAACAATGGAAGTTGGAGACCTGAAAATGGACAATCTTTGTTTTGTAGTGATGCTTTCACCAACAAGGTGCCTGGCTGCTGCTGAAAAATCTGCAAGAGGAACAACTCAAGCCGCTGACTTTTATTGAATAATACACAAGTCATAGTCAGGCACTCAGGCTAAGCAAGGAGGCGAACATACTGAAATTTGAAAACTCATATTGTCTGAAGCCTTCTCCACCGGTTTGCTCTCCATCGGTTTTTCAATGCATTTTGCATCATACTTCATGAGGTCTTCACAGTGAAGCCTTGGTGCAGTGATCTAGTAAATTAGAGTGTACTGCAAGTAAGTCCCCAGAAACATTACAAACACTTAAACAGATTACTACATCAGTTAAACTGAGAGATTCAGTTCTTACATCAACAGTAAATGACGAGGCATTCAATTTACAGGATGCACCGTTGGTCTGAAATAACGGCTCGATTGATTGTAATATATGCATGGCACTGAATTGGCGATCAACCCTCTGGGAGACAGTAGAATCAAACCATAAGTAGGAAACACTCAAAAAGACCACAGGTAGAAAGCAACAGTCATCCAAACCTCAAGCATGAAGCTAATATTGGTTCTCTGGACTGCAGCAGGCGGTAATATCTTCTTAGTTGGTGGCAGAAAAGACCAAGCCAATCCCCATCTACACGTTTGGCCTTGTACAAACTCGGTAGTCTTCACTATGGTCACTCCAACATCCCGCAGCTTTGAAGTTAGGAACTTGAGGTTTATTTTCCTGCCAATCATTGAAGTGTACCACCTAAAAAGGTAAAGCATGAATGAAGCCATTACTTTAACCAGTAAAGTGATAAAGAAAGGTATGTATATTCAAAGAATACTGACCTAAACGATTCCTTCAAGACAACACTATCTTCAATCATACGAGTAATGAAAGCTTGTTCTCCACCAGGGCAGACCATCTCCTCGGGAGTACCTCCGCAAGAAGTTTTTGGATTAAGTCCTGCTTCCTCAGTGCTCTCAAAGAAAGGAGGATTGCACATGCAGAAATCAAACTTCTCACCCTCTCTGACTACCCCAAGAAGTATAGGCGGCCCACAATAACGGCCACCTGCAACCTCACTGCTTTCATGATCTACTGCAAGAGCATCAGACAACTCTTTAGCAGGCAGCTCAACTCCATGGACTGTAACCTTTCTAATCTCAATGAGTTGAGACACGTGTGGATTTTTGTTGACGTTTCTCTCAGCCCACTCTAATGCAACATCAGTAATATCTGCAACCAAGTACAGGGATACAAAAAGGCTGTAAGTTACTAATGATTCACACACAAAGCTGAAGCTTGATAAGGATAATACTAGCACTAAGAAGATCAAGTGACCTGAACCGACGAAACTCCAACCCAGAAGGGAGGAGCCAAGCAGTGGGTAAATGCAGTTTGCTCCGGTGCCTATATCAAACCCTCTAACTAAATCTCCAAGAGTCTGATTTTTTGGAATGATCTCAGAAGACAGAAGATCTTCAATCCAATGAATGTAGTTTGATCTGTTGGGCACAGTGGGGCATAGCTGCCCATCAGGGATCCACCTACACATTATTCCCACACCATAAACAAACCTCAACAGAATCAAATTCAGATTTCAAGTAGCCTTAAACACAACCATAGGAAAAGAAAATAAGCCGAGAGTTTCAGTTTGTCTGAGCTCAAATAAGATTATCAGAAGCCACAAATTTCTGAAAACAAGGATTTGATCAATTGGCAATTCGTTGAATTTTTACTCAAAAGGCTGCCAAACTGCATTATTATGAACTCAAAGGGGATCAAAGTTCGGAACTTGAATTGGCTAAATTCTTCCAATTTCTAAAACTCGGGAAGGGATTTCACCAATTCAGCTGAGCGAACAAGCTAAAGGCAGAATCTTTGAGGTTTAATAACACTTGGTGAATCATCTGCTTACCAATTGAGGCTGTGGTCGTGGAGGAGCAAGACCCGGGTAAGCTCCCTAGTGGCGTTGAAGTCGGTCCAGTCGATTCTAGGGTGACCGTCGCGTGAGTAGAAAACGAAAGGCTCGAAAGAAGGGTAGAGGGACGCCAGGAGAGCGAAGTCCGGAGGACTGTCGGCGTACTTGTTTCGCGGGTGAATCGTTGGCCGCTCCGGTCTCTTCCGCTTGTTATTCTTGCTTGGCATTTTCCCGAAATTGTCAGGAACCGGCGGTCGATGAAAGTTATATTTTGGAAACCGACAAATGCGACGGCGGCGGGTAGGATATGCTACCGGCAAGGAACCCGAGAACTTTGTCCCGGTGGGTTTTAAAGTTGACCCAAATAATTGGGCTTGGGCTAATGTTTATCCTTTAGCGAGAAGCTAGGACGCTAATTCCATAGTCCATAGGGATTTAGCACCGTCCGAATTATAATATTAACAGTTCATTTCAAATTTAAATTTTATGTTTAGGAAAATAATGAGAGTAAATTAAGAAGAGATTACATTAATTATTAATTTCTGACTTTTATTTTTGTTGTTTTGTGACAGAAGGCGGATTTGGTGGAATTGGGTTTTTTTTCTTTTTTTGGGATTTTAATGGATGTGGTTACAAGTTTTTCTCAACAACGTCTCTTTTTCTCGCTCTCCCTTCTCTCCATCGTGTCTCTCTGTCTTCGCAGAGTAAAATACTACATTTTTTTGGAAAACACTATTAACTTTTTTCTTCAGGTATGTAGTAGTAATTTGGTGTGCAGTATTGATTTTATGATATATTAGTATTGATTTTGATAATTTTTTAGTAGAATCAATATTACTATATAGGTTTTTGTAAATAATAATAAATCACTACTAATTCTAGCAAAAATAATAATAAATCACTACTAATACAAAATCAGAAACACTGCTTGGAGAATCTGGTGATCACGAAATTGGGTTGTCTTTCAGGGCAAACTGTTGCAAATAAAATATTTGTTTCCTTATAATTGAAACACTAATGGTGGGCTTTTGGTGGAGGAGCTCGTTTATGAGCTAGTAGAAAATAGGAAGGAGTTTTATTTGATTGGAGAAATGGGACAAGTGGAAGAATAGGTTGCAGAGAAAGAGAGCACTTAAGACAAGAGGAGCTTTTGCTTCTTTATATTTCTTTTTTTGCTTTGCTCTACCCTTTGATTCGTACAACACAAGCCTATTTATAGGCCTCCAATCACAAAATATCAAACCTATTAAGTATGGTAGTTGGAACCGACTTCCTCTTGTGTGGTTCCTTTTTTTCTTTTGTTTAATCACTCAACTTGCTCATTCTCTACACAATTCTACACTTCTCCCTACACTCATACGTCTACTAGTCTCTAAGTGATTCTGATATTTTTATTTATTTAATTAAATTTTATTTAATTTCAACACTCCCCCTTAAAGTTTAAATAGTAGTAACTCCGAGTAGCGTCCTCATCTTGACGAACACGTCTTGCTTCAGCGGTTTGGTGAAAATATCTGCAATCTGGTCTTCAGTCTTCACATACTTTAGCATCACTTCTTTCTGCTCAACGCATTCTCTCAAAAAATGATATCTTGTATCAATGTGCTTACTACGATCATGAAACACTGGATTCTTTGCTAGGGCCAGAGCAGACTTGTTATCAACATAAATCTCAGTTGACTCTTCTTGTGTCATATTCAACTCCTTCAGCAACTTTCTCGGCTATATAACATGACCCGCACACGATGTTGCAGCAACATACTCAGCTTCACAAGTTGACAGTGTCACGATAGCTTGCTTCTTTGAACTTTATGTGAAAGTTGTATCTCCTAGAAAGAATACGAATACTGTATTGCTCTTGCGATCATCCACGTCTCCTGCCCAATCACTATCGCAGTAGCCAACCAATTTGAAATTTTTTGACTTAGTGTAAAACAGACCATGATCGATTGTACCTTTGATGTAGCGCAATATCCTCTTGGTAGCATTCCAGTGTGACATTGTTGGTGCCTCCATGTATCTGCTGACTAATCCAACTGCGTAGAGAATATTTGGTCTAGTACAAGTCCGATATCTCAAGCTTCCCATGAGACTTCTAAACTCCGTTGAGTTGACCTTCTCTCCTTTATCATCCTTGGATAACTTCAGTCCACACTCAGCAGGTGTGCTCACAGGATTGCAATTCTAAATCTTAAACTTCTTCAGGACCTCGTTTGCGAAGCCACTCTGTGAGATAAAAATTCCTTCCTCCTTTGCGAAGCCACTCTGTGAGATAAAAATTCCTTCCTCCTTTTGAGTTACTTCAATACCGAGATAATATGACATTAGTCTAATGTCTATCATCTCGAACTCACGAACCATCGTCTTCTTAAACTCTTCAAACATCTTAGGATCGTTGCCTGTGAAGATGAGATCGTCTACATATAGACAAACCATCAATATTGCTCCCCCTTGCACCTGCAGTATAGTGCATGCTCATGCGGGCATTTACTAAACCCGTCCTGCTGAAAGTACTTGTCAATCCTGCTATTCCAAGCTTTTGGTGCTTGTTTCAGACCATAAAGTGCCTTTTTTAGCTTCAACACCTTATCTTCTTGATCTTCAATGATATATCCAGGGTAGTTGCTCCACATAGATATCTTCCTCGAGATATCCATTCAGAAAAGCTGACTTTACATCCATCTGATGTATCTTTCATCCATTTTGAGCAGCGAGAGATATCACCATCCCGATACTCCCGATTCTTGCCACGGGAGGAAAAACTTCATTATAGTCAATGCCTAGTCTCTGACTATACCCTTTCGCCACCAATCTTGCTTTGTGTTTGACGACTTCTCCTTTAGCATATTTCTTCGCTTTAAATACCCACTTCACACCGATGGGCTTCTGGTTCTTAGGTAGTGACACAAGCTCCCAAGTCTTGTTCTCAACAATTGCTCCAATTTCTTCATCCATGGCTATTTTTCATTTTTCATCCTTCATGGCTTCTTGGACATCCACCGGTTCATTATCAATGAAATGACAGTATAGTGTCAATTCATCAACTTCAATGGCTGTAGTTTCCTCATAAATTTCATCAAGTCTTCTATACTTTTGTGGCCTTTCTCGGGGACTTTCACTAGATTCTCCTTCTGGGCTGGTAGGTTCTCTGTGACTGGGTGGACTTGTCACATGTACATCACCATCCGGTACTTCAGCACTTTCATCCATAGTGAATGGATAAAAAGTGTAACTCTTATTTGCTTCAGTAGTCCAGTCCCATGTTGCTTCTTCATCAACTACCATGTCTCTGCTGAAGATCAACTTCTCTTCCACTGGATCAAACATCTTGTAACCTTTTGAGTGTTCTGAGTATTCCAGAAATATGTACTTCTTGCTTTTTTCATCCAACTTCTTCCTTTCTTGATCCGGTACGTGCACATATCCGTCACTTCCAAAGACTCGGAGGTGAGAAACTGTAGGTTTCCTCCCGCTCCATGCTTCTTGGGGTGTTTGATTCCAAACACTCTTTGTTGGTGACCTGTTCAGTAAGTAGATTGCACAATCAACAGCTTCAGCCCATAGCTCCTTTGGTAGGTTCTTGCTCTTCATCATACTTCTCGCCATGTTGAGGACGGTTCTGTTCTTCCTCTCAACGACTCCATTCTGTTGTGGGGATCTTGGGACTGTGAGAAACCTGTGAATTCCTTGATATTCACAGAACCTTCTGAACTTCTTGAGCATAAATTCTCCACCTCTATATGATCTCATTGCTTTGATGTAGCGGCCACTTCATTCTCCACGAGCATCTTGAACTTCTTGAAAGCTTCAAATGTATCTGACTTTTGCTTCAAGAAGTAAACCCATGTCTTTCTACTGTAGTCATCAATGAAAAATAGAAAATATTTGTTCTTTCCGAACGATGTTGGGGTAATCGGTCCACAGAGATCTGCAAGGACGAGCTCAAGCGGTGCTTTAGCTCTTGATAGGGACTCCTTTGGGAAACTTGCCCTAAATTGCTTTCCAACTAAGCATCCTTCACACAATTGGTCTGGATGATTGATCACTGGCAGACCGTGCACCATCTTCTTATGACCGAGTAACTTCAGGCCTCCAAACTTTAGATGGCCATAGCCATGTATTGTCCTTCACACATGCTTTCAAGCACTTCACCATTTCAGTTTGGATGTTCAGCGTGAACATTCTGTTTCTCAACATTGGTACTCTGGCCAACAACTGCTTCTTCTCATTTAACAGCTCTAGTTGACGATTCACCATGTGGAATTCATATTCTTCTCCATCAATTGACCCAAACTCAGGATGTTACTAGTCATGTTCGGGACATAGTACACGTCACTGATAAATTGCTGCGAGCCATTCTTCAATCGGATGAGTATAGTTCCTCTCCCTTTGATAGGAACTTTCGAGGAGTCTCCAAATACGACATTTCTTTTCACTGATTCATCCATATCCACGAACATGTTTCTTTTTCCACACATGTGGTTGCTTGCTGCATTATCCAGATACCACATGTTATCTCTCGGTTTTTCATCTCCTTGATGCGACAACATCAATGTGCCTTTGACTTCTTCTTGCACGTTGTTTGTTGTCTCCTCCACTTCTTTAGGCGGACTCCAACATTGCGATGCATAATGCCCGTATTTCGAGCAATTATAGCATTGGACGTTGGATTTATCACGTCCTTCATTCGATCTCCAACTTCCTCTTCCGCGTCCACGACCACGACCTCTGCCTCTGGTGGACGATTCATAGTTGTTCATGGTGAAATTTCCTCCATCTCTGCTTTGATATCACGGCCTTCATTTTATCTCCAACTTGCTGATGATAGACTTCACACGTGCGGTGTATTCAGAAACAGATTCAGCTTCCTTCATTTTTATTGCTTCGAAATCTCCCCTGAGTGTCTGAAGTCGAACCTTTTTTACTGGTTCCACGCCTTGCATTTCCTTTTGCAGAATCTCCCATGCTTCCTTAGTTGTGGTAGCATCTGCTATTTGATCAAACATCGATTCATCAAGACATTGATGAATTAGAGTGAGTGACTTTTGATCACTCTTTCTATTTTTTCTCAATACCTCCTTTTCAGTAGGAGATAACCGAGAATCCTCTGTGGGAATCTCGTAACCTTTCTCAACAATATCCCAAGCATCTTGGGATCCTAGCAAGGCTTTCATACGGATGCACCAATTTTTGTAATTGGTTTTGGTAAGGTGGGGAAATTGAATGGGGGAAGTGGATTTTTCGGCCATGGGACAATCGTGATAACCACAACACGAGAAATTCTTTTCTGATGTGGAAGTTCAGACTACGCTGCAACCACAGAGCATACTCAGAAATAACTCGGGCTCTAATACCACTTTGTTGGAAATAAAATATTTATTTCCATATAATTGAAACACTAATGGGGGGCTTTTGGTGGAGGAGCTCGTTTATGGGCTAGTAGAAAATAGGAAGGAGTTTTATTTGATTAGAGAATGGGACAAGGGGAAGAATAGGCTGCAGAGAAAGAGAGCACTTAAGACAAGAGGAGCTTTTGCTTCTTTATATTTCTTTTTTGCTTTGCTCTACCCTCTGATTCGTACAACACAAGCCTATTTATAGGCCTCCAATCACAAAATATCAAACCTATTAAGTATGGTAGTTGGAACCGACTTCCTCCTGTGTGGTTCCTATTTTTTTATTTTGTTTAATCACTCAACTTTCTCATTCTCTACACAATTCTACACTTCTCCATACACTCATACGTCTACTAGTCTCTAGGCGATTCTGATATTTTTATTTATTTAATTAAATTTTATTTTATTTCAACACAAACAATTTGGAATCCTAGCTTTAATACGCTAATTTCACCAGCAATACCAAGAGTGGATAAGTGTGCCGATTGAAAGTATTCAACGATCATTCATCCCACTCGCACGGTCATTGGGTGTGGGAAACCCTAATTCAGTTGTCTGTATGTGGGATGGGGCTACTAGGAGTGAGTCCCATCGACAGGGGGGAGGGGGATGATTATCATGAACCAAGAAGGGAGCGTCCTCTTGGCTAAAGGGGTGTAGTTTGATGATATTGATGATCCGATGATTGTCGAGTTGCTTGTTTTTTGGGAGGCTATTCTATGGTGTCTGGAGAACGAGTTTACGGAGATGAGGTTTGAAGGTGACGCCAAAGTGGTCATTAATAAAATCAATCAGGCTGATACCTAGGATAATAGGATGGGGGTCATCCTCGAGGAGGTCGTGCTTAATTTCACGATTCACAATGGGCTTAATGTGCGATTTGTAGGTCGGAGCAGTAATAGGATAGCCCATTTGGTGGCTAGAAAGGTCCTCTCATTGTACTCAACTATGCGTCGTTTCTTTGATTTTCTGGCTTGGTTAAAATCCATGATATAATGATCTATGTTTCAAATCAATATATATGATTATCTTTTGTCAAAAAAAAAATGAAGGAAAAAACCTCATATTTCTTGTAGTCTTTTACGTTTTAGACTTTTAGAATTTTAGGTATTGTTTTTTTAGACGAAAATCATTGAGGCTAAAATTTCTATGCTAAATTTAGAATAGTGATTTAAACATGTTCATTTGAACTATTTTTCTAGTTACTTGCAATCCTATTGTAAAAATAACATTGGGCCGAATGTCTAAAATCGAATGATTCATAAGGACTATACTAGCTCTGGACCCAGAATAGTACTGGGTCGTGACCCGGGATGGCCACCCCCTGGATCCTTCACAAATAGACTGTAGCAATGAATGTTCCTAGTACAAGTTCCTGACATGTTAGTGATGACAATGATGCAAAAATAAATGGATAGGTATCTCAATATTCATATTCGCTTTCAAATCCAACGAACACCGGCCGGAACTCTTCATAATGGTACTGATTGATCTGGTGCACTGTAACAAAAAGGACGTACCGGTTTCCATGTGAAGTGTCTCCTCCCATGCTCTGTTGTACGTACGCAAGCAAGCAAGCCAAACGAACAAAATCCATTGTTGATGATATAATAGATCTGTTGAACCAAAGAGGGACCTGCTGTCTGTCACCCTTTTTCTGTTTCATATACAATCAAACTTTGGACTTTGCTACGGTGACATGCATGTCACCGTAACTTTCACTTTTAGGTCGACCTTATATAGGATTAGGTCGACATAATCTCCACTTTTAGGTCGACCTTATAAAGGATTAGATCGACCTAATCTGCCGTTTCAGTTTTGTGAGGTTCAACGACGCGATTGGCCTTTTATAGCAAATGGTCGACCTCTTTGGGAAGCGAACAGAATGAAAGGTCGACCCAAATACCTCATAGGCTGACCATTTTGATTAATTGAGGTCGACCGCATAAGTACGAGGCCGACCGTGTGCACACCGTATCCGTATTGGATAAGGATTCCAACACCAGAAAGGTAACCCTAACTTATCTACCACTTAATTCGATCCATTCTCGTCCTAAATATCTATAAATACGAATATATGTCACATTCATCGCCACCGAAACTCTGAATTAGTTTTTTTTACGGTTAGAGCTTTTGTGAAGAAGATCCTTTGCGTTTCCTGTTGTACGTGATTCAAGAAGTAGACCACGTCGATGGTGAGGTCGACCTAATGTAGCTATCGTCGTCATCTTGTCTAATGCGTAATCTGCACCATTTAATTTGATGTTTTGTTGCATGCAGAATACCATTCGGTCGACCTGTATCTCAATCAGGTCCACCTATATTTGACAATTGCTCGAGTTTGAATTTAGGGCACCCACATCGACATACATAAGCAAAAAAGATGCATGGCATAGGTTGATTTTCCTGTATTTGGTCGACCTCGTACCAAATTAGGTCAACCGCAAAACCAACACTCTTCATCTTCATTTTACGTCAAATGGTGATGGATAAATGATTACAACACTTCTCTTCCATATGGTCGACCTCTTTCTGTAAATGGTCGACCATTTTGTTAATGACCGCCATCAAGTGGTCGACCTATATACCTTTACGGTCGACCATTTTGCTTCTGACGCTAATGAAAAGGTCGACCGATGTTTTATTGTGGTTGACCAACAATGACAACTTAAACTACAAATGGTCGACCACTACATTTTAAAGGTCGACCATGATAAATCATCAGGATGCCCACATTAGTGTATTCGATCGACCACTATTAAAATTAAGTCGAACGAAAAGTACAAGTTACCGTGACATACATATCACCATAGGCATATCCTCAAACTTTATCTGTCCCTTCCCTGCATTTTGTGATATAATTATAATCGTTTACCACCTAGTATATACACTATTAATATTGGCAACCGCAATAATTATGTTTACACGATGAAGAAAGATAGATAGCAGAAAGAAGATCAGAGTCGGACCCCATGCTACTCTAGTCTTTCTTTCTTCTACAATGATGGATGAGATAAAATATGTAAGGATTGATATCTATCCATTTATCCAGTTTGCTGAGTCAGCGCAGTACATTTTACATCTTATGGATAAGCCTGCAATCAAAATCATTAACGTCAACCGCATATAATTGCTTTAATTTGCTTGTGGTACTGAAAAAATTCTCCATGCATATATGACCGTTCAATTCATAACCTGATTTTGTGAACACTTCCTCGACACCAGTCACCACCCATTCTAATCACTAATATAGTTGGTAAAATTGCTATGCTTCGAATAAAGACTTGGTTTAGTGGTCCTATCGTTAGTTTTCAAACTTAAAATTTCATATTTGAATTCATTAAAATATATATTACAGTCATAAAAATTACTTCCGATACCATTTAAAGCCCTCTCTTTGTACCCGACTGTAAGTCGCTTCTTTGATTTCCGGGCCTGGCTGATTTCCAGGATGTAACTATCTTTTTTATTGGATTAATATATGATATCTTTTGACAAAAAAAAAACGATTTGAAGAGATATACATGGTAGAAATTGAAATTGTGCAAGATGTCACTAAAATCTATAAAATATGTACCCTCCAAAAGTCCCCTTTAATTTCACCACCATGTGGAGTCTATATAAAGCTTTTCCTAGCTATAACCCTGAGTCCCTAACGCACCCAACCCAAGGACAACAGGAGAGATAACTGGAGGCAGAAACAAAAGAAAAACAAGGCAAAGCAATGGCATCTGCTGCTGCTAGGTCCTCATTGCTATACGAAGTGCTGGGCATCCCGACGAGCGCGAGCGGCGGGGAGATAAAGGCAGCGTACTGCCGGCTAGCGAGAAGGTGCCGCCCAGATTTGGTGTCCGTGAGTCGGAGGGAGATGTCGGCCGACCAGTTCAAGAAAATCCATTCCGCATACTCCACGTTGTCGGATCCCGATCAGCGCGCCGATTACGACAGGGATCTCCACAGCCACCGCCGCCGTCCTTCTGTGTCTTCGTTGCTTAACTTCGATTCGGCCCCCGCGCCCGGTTACTCTGCAGCTTTTTACGGCGGCCGGAGGAACTGGGAAACCGATCAGTGCTGGGAGTGTTTTAATTTTTATATGGAATATCAGGTGGTGCATAATTATGTTTTGTAAATGTGTGGTTTTTATTGGAGAGAAAGTCTGTTTCTTCTGTTCAACGGAGAAAGCAGAGTATACACATATTAGGATTTAGGACGGAACAGGGGAGCTTCTTTAATTCTATGGAAGCTCAAATGTTATGTGAAATTTATTGTAAACAACTATTATGGTATTATTATTATTGACGATTTAGAATAGTTGACTACCGAAACTTAATGTGGGAGTGTAGATAAACAATTATTGTCTTTTTTTAACGGGCCAATAAGTAATATATTATCACATAAGAAGTGAAATGTTGTGGGCAGAATTACAAGGTCTTTAATTGATAAGTAGTAAAGAAGCACAAGTAAACACACACGATATTTACGTGGTATTCTCGATCGATTGTGATCGAGACTAATTTACGGAGGGTTCAGCCCCTCAGCTTTTTTCTTATTGATTATTGTCAATCAACTGTTCGGCCATTGGCCAAGATACAAGATTATTTATACCCATCATCAAATGTAACTAGGGTATGATTAGGATAAGTATTTCTCCGAAACTGCATAGGACCAGGAACCCAAACAACACGCGACTCGGGCTGGACAACAACTGTGGGCCGATCAGTCACCGAGCGTGTCTCTCGACCCAATACTCCCCCGCAAGCTGAACAATGCAGATCGCGAAAGTTGAGATTGGACAGAAGGAAAAGAAAACGATCACCCCCAAGACCTTTCGTAAGGATATCAGCGAGCTGTAATTCGGTGTGCACCTTGATAGGGAGTATTTCACTAGACTGAACTCGTTCAAAGACGAAATAGCAGTCCATCTCCACCTGTTTGGTGAGCTCATGGAAAACTAGGTTGTTGGTGATGTGTAATTTCGCCTGGTTGTCACAATGTAGTGGTGTCGCTGCCGTGTGGTGAAGGCCCAGCTCACGTACTAGCCACCGCAGCCAGATTACTTCACTATCCGTGCTTGCCATCACACGATATCCAGCTTCAGCGGAAGACATAGCAACACCACGTTGCTTCTTAGTGCGCCAGGATACTGGGGCGCCTCCGAGACTGATAAAATAGCCAGTACAGGACCAGCGAGTACTCTGGCAACCACCCCAATCTGCATCACAATAAGCCGTTAATCAAAGAGGACTATTTGAAGGAAAAAACAAACCTGGGCCTGGTGAGGCTTTGAGATAGCGGAGAACGTGATAAGCTCATATGCATAGGGCTAGGCGCATGAACAAACTGACTGAGGATGTTCACCGCATAGGTGAAGTCCGGTCGTGTGATGGTCAGATAAAGAAGACGACCAACGAGCCGACGGTAGGAAAAAAGGATCTGCGAGCACGACATCAGTAGGACGAATCAATTGATGGTTTTGTTCAATGGGAAACGAGCTCGACCGAGACCCTTACATACCGGCATCCTCTAGTATGTCCAGGACATACTTTCTTTGGCTGAGTGCAATCCCATCAGTTGTGTGTGCCACTTCAATCCCTAAGAAGTAGCGCAACGGGCCAAGTTCCTTGATGCTGAATATTTCATTCAGAAACTGTTCGACACTAGTGATGAAGGGTAGGTCATTGCCATCTAGTATCACGTCATCTACGTAAATGAGAGCAACCACAAATCTGCTCCCCCGCTGGTAGATAAATAAAGAATGGTCTGTAGGTGAAGCGCGAAAGCCATACACAAAGCAGTCGTAAATTTCTGGTACCAATTACGAGAAGCCAGCTTCAGACCATAGATGGACTTGTGCAGTCGACACACTCTAGTGTCTCCCGGAGCTCGAAAACCTTGAGGAATCTCCATGTATAGTTCCTCATCAATATCTCCATGCAAGAATGCATTATTAACATCTAACTGGTGAAGGTGCCATCCACGACTAACTGCAACAACAATCAAACATCGGACAATCACTAATTTCGGTACTGGAGCAAACGTGTTGTGAAAATCCAGCCCTTCTATCTACGTGTAGCCCTTGGCTACAAGACGAGCCTTGTATTCTCGATCGTTCCATCAGGAAAGAACTTAATTTTGAAGACCCATTTAGTCCATATAGTCCATTTGCCAGGAGGGAGCTCAACTAGGGTCCAAGTCCCATTTTCCACCAAGGCAACCACTTCACGGGTCATCGCATCTCGCCACTGGGGGTCACGCATGGCCTGCTGGAATGACGTTGGCTCATCACTATTTGTGACTACAGCAAGGAAAGCACAATACGAGGGTGTAAAATTAATATAGTGAACATAAGACGCTAATAGGTAGTGAGAATGAAGAGAGGTGCTTCCCTGTTTACTAGAGGTGCGGGCTCCTCGAACGGAAGTCGACGTATCATAGATCGCCAGGTGTTTTGACCGAAACCTGGTTCGATCACTCCTGCGAGGTGCAGCCGCAGATGTTGGGTCTTGTTCAGCTAGCGGAGATGCTCCACCAAGCACCACATATGTATGTTGATGCGAGGAAGTGTGGTCTTGTGTAGGAGACGAGCTCGATGACGACAGAGAAGAATTAGCTTCGACCCTAGGGGACATCGGAGAGGAAATAGAGGAGGGAATCTCCGGTGGAGGATGGGCCATATCGTGCTCTTCATAGTCCTCCAAACAGTCCGCTTGCAAAATCGGACGCGACACCCAGTGCAGCTGTTTCCCAACGTTGGACTGGAATTGGAGGGTATTCTCATGAAAGATCACATCACGAGAGGTGCCGACTCTCTGATTTGTGAGATTGTAAATACGATAGCCATTCTGACTTGCTGCATATCTAAGGAATACTCCACTGCGCCCACGTGCAGCAAACTTATCTAGATGCCTATGAGTGTCCTTGTAGAAAGTGATACACCCAAACACACGCAAGGACTTATAATTTGCAGGTTTATTAAAATATCAGCTCAAAGGGAGTTTTACCAGTGGCTGTCATTGGCAACCTATTTATGAGATAAACTGCTGTGAGTACACATTCACCCAAAAAACGAATGGGCAAGCTTGCTTGAAACCGCAGAGCTCTCATAGTATCCATAATGTGTCGATGTTTCCTCTCTACCACACCATTTTTTGTGGTGTGTCGGTGCAAGGAGTCTGAAGCAAAATTCCTTCAGTTTTATAATACTCCTTTAACACCTCAGTATTAAACTCGAGACCATTGTCCCCTTGTATGCCTTTGCCGGCTTACCAAACTGTTTCCGAACCATGTTGCAGAAAAGCTTAATGTAAGTGCCAACCTCGGATTTATAACGCATCAAATATACCCAAACACCATGGCTAAAATCGTCGATGATAGTGAGGAAATAATGTGCACCACTGAGTGAAGCTTGTTGATAGGGATCCCATATATCAACATTATTAAGTTTAAACACCGATTTTGTTTTCATCGAACTACACAAAAACGGTAAACGAGTTTGCTTTGCCCTTGAACAAGAATGGGGAAGGTCGTTATTAGTATGAAAAACAACAGATAGGATGCGACCAAGCTGCTGCATTTTCTCCAACAAGGGGTGTCCCAGTCGAGCATGCCAGGTCGATTCAGAGATGGATTTGTTTCCACTGACCGCACAAGCTTTCATCCTTCCATTCCCAAACAGTCAGAGATAATACAGGTCGTCCTAGAGCTCACCCTTCCCAATCAACTTCTTGGAGTGTAAGTCCTCGATAACGCAGAAACCATCAAGAAAGATTAATGTGACGTTGTTATCCTTCATTAATTGACTCACAGAAACCAGATTGCATCGGAACTCGGGAACATGTAATACTCGGCTAAGTTTCAACCCAGACTACAGAGTAATAGACCCAATATGTTTAACAGGGATGCTCGCCCCATTTGGTATGCGAACCGGCTTCCCATCAATTTCTCTTATTTCTTGATAATAATGAATCATCCATAGTAATGTGCTCATTGCATCCAGAGTCAATCAACCATTAAGAGGTTTCAGAAATCACACCTGCTATATTCGCAACAGGATCTTCCCCAGTCGGTTGTGACCCGCAAAGAATTTCTTGAGTTGTTCCAACTGCTGCAGTGTAAATCCAGCTACAAGACTTTGGTTTACCTCTACTTGCGAGGCCTTAGGATCACACCATGTCCCTTCATTCTTGCTCCCACAACGCTTTGGCTGCTTGTTACCTTGTCGATCCTGATCACGAGGTGGGAGTCGATCAACTCATAACACATCTCACGTGTGTGCCCCACCTTTTGACAATGTCTGCACCGCAACTTTTCTCGCTCCCCCGTGCTTCGGGTACCTCTTTCATTCTCCCCACGTGCTACGAAGGTTGCCGCCTCAGATTTAGGTTGTCGTTGTTGCGAGATTAGCTTCTGCTGCTCCTCATTAATAACGATGTTAAAAGCTTCGGGCAATGATGGTGTCGGCTTCATGGCTAACACCTGAGTATGGACTGCGGCAAAAGTTCGTCCAGTCCTATAAGGAAATCAAAAATCCTGGAGTTCTCTTGCTGCTCCCGTACCTTGCGCGATACGTCACAAGCGCACTGCCAGCAAGTATTGCGCAGAATCAGCGAGATGGCCGATGCTTCTTCCCAAAGTGCTATGAGCTTAGTATAAAAGGCCGATATTGAGTTCTTTTCTTGTTGTGGGGTGCTGATCAGACGTCGTAGCTCGTACGCGCGAGATGCACTCCCTTGGCCAAAACTCTCGCTCAAATCCGCCCGTATAGCTCGAGCACTTTCAGCAAAACAGATGTTACTTCGGATTTCTTTGTCCATGGATGTCTTTAACCAGCCTTTCCCCATGGCATCACATCGCGCTCAAGCCCGTCGTTCTACAGGATTTGTCGGCTTCTCAACCGTCCCGTCAACGAAACTATATTTATTTTTCTCCAGTAGGGCATCCCTCATGTCGAGCGCCCATTGTCTATAATTTGCTGTCGTTAGGACTTATCCAACGAGCATATTCCCCGGGCTGTCAGAGTTATGGAGTTGATATTCATATGGGAGGTCATTCCCAACTCTGCCGCCAGTCTGCGGTGGTTTGCCATTCGACGAGTCATCCACGTACTTGCTCATGGCGCCTCCAAATTAG